CCTCGGACAGTGTGTCTTTTGATGCATTTCACGATTCTATCGAAAGCCATCTTGCCCCGGCTCAATGCGAGCAGCTTCTTACCCTGTTGCATGAATTCAGGCGTTCGACTTCCCCCAAGTGGCGCTACATCGAACGAATACCGTTGTTTACACAATTGACATGGGAAAGCGTAATCTTTTGCGCCAGCACCCCTATCGTGTGTCGGCAGCAGTGCGTTGCGTAATTGCAGCACAAGTAGATGACATGCTACAGCGTGGAAACATCAAGCCTTCTTGCAGCCTTGGTCTTCCCCGGTTGTACTCGTCAAAACAAAAGATGGTTCTATCTGGTTCTGCGTAGACTACAGGCGCCTAAACTTCGTTACGAAGAAAAATGTTTACCCTTTTCCTCGCTTCCACCACACCCTCAATTGTCTCCAAGGCGCGGAATTCTTTTCCTCGCTTGACCTGCATGCCGGTTATTGGCAGGTTCCAATGGCTGAGCCTGATCGTCTGAAAACAGCGTTCGTCACACCGGATGGCCTTTAGGAATTTACTGTAATGCCATTCGGACTATGCATTGCACGCGCCACATTCGAGCAAATGAAGGACAGCATTTTATGCAGTCTCAAATGGAACATATGCTTGTGCTATCTTGACAAGTTAGTGGTCTCTTCACCCGATTTCACTTCACATCTTGCTCATCTGCTGAAGATTCTACCCTACAAACTCCAAGCTTCAGCTTAACCTGAACAAATGTCACTTCGGGGCTCGACAACTCATCATTCTTGGTCATGTCGTCTCCAAAGACTACGTCCTCCCCAACCCTGACAAACTTCGTGCTGTTGCGTAGTTACCAAAGCCGACTACAGTTAAAAAACTACAGAGCTTTGTGCGCCTGTACTAGTATCTTCGTCGGTTTGTCCGGAACTTTGCTTCCATCATTACCCCATTCACCAAGCTTCTTGCTGATGCTGCGGATCTTTCGAATTGGACACCAGCCTGTGACGTATCCTTCACAACACTGGGCCAACTCCTTACTTCACTGCCCGTTCTGCGCCATTACGACCCTTCTGCGCTGACCGAAGTACACACGGATGCAGGTGGCGTCGGCCTTAGTGCAGTACTCGCGCAAGGCAAACCAAGTTTGCGGAGTATGTGGTCGCCTATGCCAGTTGTGCCTTCACTAAGGCAGAAGCCAACTATTCTGTTACCGAAAAAGAGTGCCTTGCAATTGTGTGGGCGTTAAACAAGTTTCGCCCCTATTTGTACAAGCACTTTTCATGTGGTGACTGACCATCACCCACTCTGTTGGTTGGCGTCACTAAAAGATCCTTCTTTTCACCTTGGGCATTGGGCACTACACGTCCCAGAATTTGACATTCGCGTCGTCTACTGATCGAGGCGAAAGGACTCTGTCACATGTGTGCTCTCACGATCACCCATTCACGATCACTCTGAAATCTCAGCCCTTGACTTTCCCCTCTCTGTCATTAGCGTCACAGACATGCCATCTGAACAGCGAAAGGACCCTTGGATTGTCTTGCTTTTGAATATGCTCTTTGACTCATAAACTTCCGGATACCCACGTGTTCTTCGCCGCCAAGCAACGCATTTGGCCATACGAGATGGCCTGCTACACCGTCCCTACTATCAAGTGGCGGGTCATAAATGGCTGCTGGTCATACCCAGCCATATGTGGTCCGATGTCTTTGAATATTTTCATGCTGAACCGCAACATGCACACGCCGGTGCGCTAAAGCCACGAGTGGATCCGCCAACGTTACTACTGACGGCGCATGTACACATTTGTATGTAAACACATTCGCTCATGTTCCTTGTGTCAGCAGTGCAAGACATTTCCTCATTCACCCGGTCAACTGCAACCTTTATCATGTCCTGCATGCCCATTTGGCCGTGTTGGGATTGACCTGTACGGTTCGCTCCTGTGCTCTGTTGCTGGTAATCGATGGATGATTGTGGCTACCGACCATCTGACAAGATACGCTGAAACGGCAGCGCTACCTTTGGCTGGTGCTCATGCCGTTGCCAATTTCATTTTACATCAGTTTGTTCTCTGTCATGGTACGATACGGGAGCTATAGAGTGACAGAAGTCGCGTTTTTTTTTGTCCGTTGCTTTGCAACAGCTCCTACATTCGTGCCATTTGGTACACCGCACATCAACAGCCTACCACCCTCAGACGATTGGCCTAACGAAATGTTTCAATATAATACTGGGAGACGTGCTCGCTATGTATATTGATTCCGGCCACTTCAATTGGGGTGTTCTTTTTTTCGTGACGTGCATATACGATACGACAATTAGATCAACGACAGGCTTTTCCCCATTTTTTCTTTTTATATGGTAGTGACCCATGCAGCACACTCGACACAATTCTGCCATACAATTTTGATGCCTTCGAGTTCAGCCCAGTTTCTCAAATGGCCGATGCACACTTTAGCCGTCGGTTCTCTCGTATGGCCCCGGCTGCCTTTCCACTCTCCTGGACCGATTCCCAAGTTTGCACTGAAGTATACTGGCCCTTACCGCTTCATTCAGTGTCCCTCTTTTGTCATCTATGTGATTGAGCCACTCAAGACGTCCACGGACAAGCGCCGTCTTGGTCGTGAGATGTTCCACGTCAGTCGCTTCAAGCCCTGCTACGACCCTCCTGTTGTATCGCCACTTTGAGTCACCAGGATGGCTCGCCTTCATAGCCAAGGTATTGCAGTGGTGAATTAGCTATGCAATCTCGAGTGGGACCATCTCTTGGTGCGAAGTGCGATTTGTGTGCAAGAGCTGGGGACGCTGAGCCTGTTGAGTATTTTCATCTGTACCGGCTGTCTGCCTACTACCAGGCATCGATAATAAACCCCCTTGCAAATTATATAGTAAAGTGACTACTGAACTCTGCCTAAGTCATGAACAAAGGTTTAAATGTGACAAGAGGTTAAATGTGAATATCACATACAGGTTTAAATTTGAATACCATATACACTAAAAGGATAGTACTAATTTGAGTTTATTGGACTGGAAACAAACTTTTTGATGCAAAACTACTAGCCAGCCTAGTTAGAATGAATTCATCTTTTAGCTGTTTTGCGTGAGACAAACAAGGACGAAGCTTCATCCTTATTTGTTTTGCACAAAGTGGCTAAAAGCTTTTTTACATTCTAAGTAGTTGGATGGAAGAAAAAAGCATTGAAGTGCTTGATTCATTAATGTGCTTTTTTTGTTAATGAGAAATTGTGTTCTTATGTGTTTTTGTGAATATAAGAATGCTGTGGAAAATGCACAAAGCTGCTTTAACTATGTGAAGAGTAGTTGTGTGATAAAAGGAACCCATAATAGGCCTCTGAACAGAAGCATGTAGTGCCAGTTTCTTTGTCATATGTGATTGATGATACACAGGATCTGTGTCATGGCTTATGTGCTGAATACCAAATTAACCTTTATTCATGGGTCAACTAAATATTAGGCTCATAGCTAGTGAGCACTACTCCTCCTTGCTCTGTTCATATGATGCAGGGTTGGAAGTGCTGCGCCAATCTCAACTGCTGCACCAAGCCGCACCTGAATGGCAATTTGCACATGCAACACCATATTTAGTCTATAGAGTTTCATCATCGACTGAGCAACAAGCGTAGGCTACACAAAGAATGCGACCATGTCCATATAAAATTGTGTTCATATCGAACGTCGTATTTCGTATATGCATGAATCTTGTATCTGCTAAGCTATTAGTGAGCCAAATGTTCATACAGTGGCTGACGACAATGAGGAATTGTGCCTGAAGTGGGTATGTGCCACAGTTAATAGGGGAACAAAATCAAGCTTTTGTAATGGGTTGGGGCATTGGAGGACCCACTCGTTACGCTATTCGCATTTTGTGATAACTGCTTGTTCTTTCGCGGTTTTGAAACGCTTTATAAGTCGTAACAACACGATTGCTTTCCCAACATCAAGCCTGCCTTAAACAAGTTTGCCAACAAGTCCCAAGCACTGGCGTGGCTCAATAGTAGAATACTGTGCTGTCCCTCAGTGGACCAGGGTTTGAGCACCACTGTGTCATTGATGCTAGTTTTTTTTTTTCTAATTTTGCGCGAAATGGTTCGGGCACTACGGCGGCGGCGGACAACTGCGTGTGACCCGAGTTGTGATCTTTTAATAGCTTTAGTTGTAAAAACTCGGCACACATTTGCTGAACGAGCACCGAGCACGTGCTGGGCTCGGCAACGGTGCGGTGAGTTTCTTACCATGTAAACTGGGAAAAAAAAAATAATAATAATGAAAATCAGTGTCACCAGTGAAGTGATGAATGCAGTAGGAACAGTTTGGAATGTTGTAATTGCGATGCCACGCGCTCCTCTCTTTCTATTTTTGTTACCGCAACATTACACCTGTAACACTGCCTTGCGCAAGGCATGCCCGAATGACTGGAGACCATCTAGATAATCTTAGAACCTTCCGATGATGAGATTAGGCATACAACGCGTACATAACAGTTCGTTCTGGAACTTATGCAGCGATAAACCTCCTCCAAAACACACCTTTTGCTGCTCCATAGCTGCTCCAAAGCTCCCTTTTTTACTGCTCCAAAGGTGCTCCAAAACTCTATTATTCCTGCTCCCAAAGCTGCTCCAAAAGGCTGAAGCCCGCTTCCACCTCTGATGATGCCCCGCCGCGGTGGTCTAGTGGCTAAGGTACTCAGCTGCTGACCCGTACGTCGCTGGATCGAATCCCGGCTGCGGCGGTGCATTTCCGATTGAAGCAGAAATGTAGGCCCGTGTGCTCAGATTTGGGTGCACGTTAAAGAACCCCAGGTGGTCGAAATTTCTGGAGCCCTCCACTACGGCGTCTCTCATAATTATATGGTTGTTTTGGGACGTTAAACCCCACATCTATCAAATCTATCTATCACCTCTGATGCCATTGTGGCTCATGATAAAATATTATAGACACGATGATAAATAAGGTGGTGGTGGCTCTGTGCAATGCTTTCTGCCTTTTCCATGCAGGTGTCATCTTCAGTTGTTCCGGACACAAGAAAAAGGCTGGGGTGTTCGTACTTTGCAGGATATTCCCCAGGGTGCATTCGTCTGCGAGTAAGTCTTCGTCTCATGATGCTATGATTGTTTAGTAACTCTTTGCTAGTTCATCTTTACTGGGTACTTTAAAGGGTCTTTGTAACTTTTTTCGAAGTGAACATAGAATGATTTCATTAAAAGAGCTTACTGTCTCAAGAACCAACTGCCACAAAAGTTTTCAGAATCCATCACTTGTTTGCACAGTTCAAGTGTTTTTACTCTATTTTTGTCCTAGTGAGTGTGCTGAAAGCTACACAGGGAGTTGGGGGGGGGGGGGGGGGGGAGAACAAAAGGGCAAGATGATGTGTTCCTTCATTAGAGTGCACCATACCTTTCAGCACTTCGTGATTGCAAGCGTGCATGGGGCATCTCTTGCCATCTCACGGTGGACAGAGTAACTCTAGAGCTGACAATGCTCGAATCAGCCAGTGGGCGTGGACGTTAAGGTTATGGTGTGGTAGTTTGGCTTTATGGTGTCATTTTTCGAGAGGTGAGAAACAATTTTTAGGTGACTTTGAAAATTAAACGCAAATTCCAGGCTGTGTGCTGAGCTCTAATGTTTAGCACATGTGTTCTCGAGAGCCTCGACTACAGATCTGCGGCGTTGTCTGACCATGCTGAAGAAATATTTCAGGAACCTTTTAAGGCTTCATGGATGTCATCTCATCAAATTGAGATTATCCTAAATATAACCTTGTACAGGGGTGGAAGTGCGCCAATTGCGTTATGCATCACCAATCTGACCTGCTGTGCATAATTGGCAATGTCCTAGATAATTGTTGGCCGGAAATGTAAACCGCCCAATCCAGCCGATTATTGTCATCGACCGAGCAACATTGAGCGTTAGCTCAGTCCTTGGCCATATTCACATCCACTGGATCTAAATGTGGTCAAGGACGCGGCCGTATCTACATCCACTGTTGTTCAGTCACATTGTAAAGCGGTTCGTTTATGGGGCTCGCATTGCTATTATCACTGTAGTTTGCCGCAAAAGTGGTGGCCCCAACATGAGTAACTGTTCATTGTTTAGTAATACAGTGAAACCTCAATGATTTGTACCAGCCGGGAACTCTCGCCATCATGCACTAAATGAGAGTGCGCGTTTACAAGTGCAAATGTGCATCTTCTGGCGTGCCCGAGACCAATAAACGAATACAGTATACAGCATATGTCGCCCAAAGTACCTGTCAAGCCTCGTTATAAGGAAGTTGAAGGGAAAGTCATAAATACTTCGTTTTAACCATTAGTTTATTATAGCCAATATCCACTTCTACCGACAATTAGCCAGCAAGAGAGAATGTACGCACCAATGAATATCACAGCCTTCTGCCGCGCAAACAAATACGGCAATCGGAACGTAAAAAAAAGCAAATGAACAAAAAACAATGCACTTTATTTCCGCCAAATTCAGCACACCAGCTAGCAGATCACTTCGAAGAAAAATAGTCCTTAATAGACTTTTGCCGACTTTTTCTCGCGCGGATGACTGCTTTTTCAGCTGCAGCAGCTATTTCGAGTCCGTCCTGGCCATCGTCGTAAGCACCAAAAAAGCAGGACAGCAGGTCTGCCGCATTCAGCACTTGCATGGGCGTCGGTATGTCGGTTTCACCAACATTATTAGGCTCCGGGGTGCTGACACATTCGTCACTGTTGTCATGCATGCCCGTTACCCCGGCCACAATTTCCACACTTAACGACTCTTCGGTTGTCACTGCGTCAGCATCGGCACCGACATACATGCAGAAAGTGTCGCAGTCAGGCACAACGCCGGCGTCAAGGAGAGCGTCCCACGACGTCTGGGCCTGGTCGCCCATGGCACCCACTGGCGACATAGCCGAAATCTTCGGCCACTATTTTTTTTCTTGACGCCAGACTCAATGACTTTCAACATTGCCAACTTCTGCTTGACTGTTATATTTTTGTGCTTACAATTGCCACTGCCGTTGTCCACCTTGTGTCTAGCGGCAGAAATTGATAGAGGTTGTGTTGCTCTCCCCAGCCAATGACAAGGAAGAAGCCACAATCGCCACCACCTCGGCAGTGCGCGAGACTCTGGGGCGGAGCTGAAGGAGAGGAGGAGGTCAGATGCACGGGCGGGTCAACGAGTTCTACAGGAGAGGGGAGGTCAGCTGATGTGTACAAGCGAGTTTTTGAGGAAAGGGGAGGCTGGAATACTCGCACCCACACGCATGTTGGCGGGCGGCTTCCGGGGAGTGCAAGGCGCGAGTTTTGAGTTATCGTAGCCATGATGAGACGTAAACCGTCTCATTAAATTATGACATTAAATTAAAGGTGTCATGACGTTTATTCGAGCAGAGGTGTCGCAACGAGGTCGCAACGAGGTCGCAACGGGAAGTGGGCGTATGGCAAGTCTGGCAAAGGCGGCACAAACACTCGCGCAAGCAGAGCACGGGCTTTTCGTTGTCTTCCGAAGGCGCATACGCATTGGTGCGTATGCTGCACTACAATACCCCCGGGGTGAAGGGTAGCCATCCTGGCGACTCAGGGAGTAGGCACAATGAGGGGGTCGTAGTAGGGCTTGAGACGGTCGACGTGTACGGTCTCGCGTCCTCGACGGCGCAAATCTGGTGATTGTGTTAATGGCTCGATGATGTAATTCAACGGGGAGGTCGCGTCAATGACACGGTATGGACCATGGTACCGGGCCAGAAGTTTAGAAGACAGGCCAGGAATGTGCGGGGGCACCCAAAGCCACACAAGGGAGCCAGCACGAAATGTAGGAGCTATGTGGTGAGCGTCGTCGTGTCGAGTCTTTTGTAGACCTTGAGCCTCACTTGTCAGAGACCGAGCCAACTGACGGCAGTCTTCAGCGTATCTGGCGACTTCCGAAAGCGGGGAGCACTCAGATGCATCAGGGCGGTACGGTAGTATAGTGTCGAGTGGGTGGGAAGGTTCGCGGCCGTACAATAGAAAGAACGGGGAAAAACCGGTAGTCACTAGCAACGCGGTGTTATAAGCGAAGGTAACAAAGGGCAATACAGCGTCCCAGTTAGTGTGGTCGGAGGAGGTGTACATCCTCAGCATGTCGCCAAGTGTGCGGTTGAACCGCTCAGTAAGACCATTTGTCTCTGGATGGTATGCGGTAGATTTCCGGTGGATAATGTTGCATTCAGCGAGGATAGCTTGGATGACCTCCGACAGGAACACTCGACCCCTATCACTGAGTAATTCCCGAGGAGCACCATGGCGTAGAATGAAGCTGCGGAGAATGAAGAGTGCAACTTTGTGGGCGGTCGCTGCCGGTAGAGCTGCAGTCTCAGCGTAGCGTGTCAGATGATCGACTCCGACAATAATCCACCGGTTTCCAGAGCTACTATATGGGAGGGAGCCATAGAGGTCTATACCCACGCGGTCGAATGGGCGAGCTGAGCACGGGAGCGGCTGTAACATTCCAGTAAGGTGCGGAGGTGTCTTGTTCTGTTGGCAAGTGGTGCAAGACTGAACGTATTTCTGCACAAAGCGATACATTCCTTGCCAGTAATATCGTTGGCGCAGCCTTTCGTAGGTTTGCAGGACACCTGCGTGAGCACTTTAAGGATCTGCATGGAAATTCATGCATATGTCAGAGCGCATATGAGTTGGGACAGCAAGGAGCCACTTCCGACCACCAGGCATGTAGTTGCGGCGGTACAGAATGTTGTCTCGTAAGGAAAAGTGGGCTGCTTGCCGGCGTAGCGCTCTCGTGGAAGGGACAGCAGACGGATCGGTAAGGTAGCCGACTAACAAGGCAAGGTATGGGTCTTTACGCTGCTCTGAAAGCATGTCAGTGGTGTTGAGTGGTGACAAGGTGGTAAAAGGGGGTGACAGAGAAGCCACATCTGGTGTTAGTGGCGATCGGGAAAGTGCATCGGCGTCCGCATGCTTGCGACCGGAACGATATACGACACGAATGTCGTATTCCTGCAATCGAAGTGCCCAACGCCCCAGACGTCCGGACGGGTCTTTCAAGGTGGACAGCCAATATAGAGCGTGGTGGTCTGTGACCACGTCGAAAGGACGGCCGTAAAGGTACGGGCGAAACTTCGTAAGCGCCCAGATTATGGCCAAACACTCCTTCTCTGTCACGGAGTAATTCAATTCAGCCTTCTTAAGACCGCGACTTGCATAAGCGACTACGTAATCGGTTTGGGTGCCTTTCCGTTGTGCCAAAACTGCGCCAAGACCAACGCCACTTGCATCAGTGTGAACTTCCGTGGCAGCAGTGGGGTCGTAGTGGCGAAGAATAGGTGGCGAGGTCAGCAGGCGGCGCAGCTGGTGAAATGCGTCGTCACATGCAGGTGACCATGCAGATATACCTTTGCTGTTGGAAAGCAGACTAGTCAGAGGTGCAATGATGGACGCGAAGTTGCGCACGAAGCGACGAAAGTAAGAGTAAAGACCAACGAAACTTCTTAGGGCTTTCAGTGATGTGGGCATTGGGAAGTCAGCGACAGCTCGAAGCTTATCGGGGTCCGGAAGAACACCGTCTCTTGTGATGACGTTGTGGTGTACACGTATCCCGAAGGAGTACGGCCACCAGCGTGGGTCCGGTCTAAGCGAGCCGCAGGGCACGCGTTAACCGTCGCCGTGGCGGGAAACACGATACTGCTCAAGTCGCAACACTTTATTGTGGCAACACCAAACGCAGTACAGCCCGTTGCGAAAAGGCGCGGCGGGAAAGCAAGTAGGCTTATCCACGCCACGGGCACAAAGTACTACACAGGGTGCCACGAGCACGTCTCCGCGGTAAAGGTGATCCACGGAGACACCGGGACAAAGGGCCCGGTTGCTCGAGCGAGGGCAAAGGCGCTCGCGTTGGCTTCGAAGGGAGACGGGTCGGCGTAGCTAGGCCACGCACTAGGACACCGTACTGCCCTTCGGCCGTGAGTACGCAGCGAGGCAACAAAAGGTGAGCGTTCGCCTCGGACGCGAGGCGCCGTTGGCGAAGTCCGACGAGCCCCGAGCGACGGGACTCGACGGACGGAAAAGAATGCGTGGCTCACCGTTCGGAGTCCCGG